TGAGCTGGCATTCTTTCCCTGGGGATGCCCAGAGTGCAGTGTAGGTCGCTGTCAGGGCTGGAGCGTGAGGGGGAAGCTGAAGGAGACTTTGGATGGGCAGGTCCCGAGCGCCGCTGTGGCGTTCTCTCTCCCAGCAGCCCCAGCATGCCAGTGTGCCCTAACCCTGCCCATCCTCACGTGTACCTGCTCAAGTTCGGGGTCCCAGGGCTCGGCTGCGGGAGTACGTACGGTGGCCCAACAGCAGGTGGCCCCGGCATCTCCCCGCTCCGCTGGGTGGGCAGCTCCAGGCCCATGGCTCCCCGGGGCTTCCAGAACTGCAGCCAGGCCCGTGGCCGGGCTGTCGGTGGACGGTGCTGGACCTCCCTCTCTGGTCTCTGTCCCAGGTTGGAGTCCGTGAGGCTGGAGTACCGTGCGGGGCTGAAGAACATCGCCAACACGCTCATGGCCAAGGCGCTGCAGGAGTGCCCCAGCTCCGGTGAGGCTCCGCGTCCCGGCCCAGGCCGGCTTGCTCTGCGCACGGTGCCCTGCGCCTGCTCGCCGAGGCCTCCGAGGCCCAGGCCCAGCCTCAGTGGGGGAGCTGGACGTCCGCATCATTTTCCTTCACAGCTTAGCTTTTGCCCTGTCGCCCTGAGTCTGAGTAGCTAGTGCACGTGCAGTGCCAGCACCTGGAGTGAAAAGGAGGCTCCGTGACGCCACCGCGCAGAAGCCACCGCCCGCAGCTCGCTCGTGTCTCTACAGCTTGTGTCGCTGCACAAAGTTAGAGTTGCACTGGCTGTTTAGCTTTGCGCCTTTTTTTAAAGCTGAAAACTTTCTGAGAATTTTCTGTTATCGTTGACTCTTTAAAAATGGAAATGTTTTGGCGACTTCGTAGAATTCTTCGTGTGAAAATGCCCGTACACCGCTTACGTGTTGCTTGATTTTAATCTGGTATTAGTTTGATTATTGTTTTCCTGCGTGCATCTTCATCAGCACTTCTGGTTGTTTTGTTCCAGTAAATTCTCAGATGTGAAATTACTGAGCGAGTGGGAACGAAACCTTGACGGTTTTTGGCACTTCCAACCCAGTCGCCCCCAGAGGGTTCTCCACTGTGTGCCACTGGGGCTGCTGTGGCTCCAGGCACCAGCGGGCTGGGTGAGGCTGGGTGGGCACATGTGGCCTCCCCTGAGCAGGTCTATGGACACCCCAGGTTAGAAACTTCCTTCGCAGGCCCTGCTCGGGGCAGCCTGCGTATGGATGGGTGCGTCTCTGAGAGCTTACTTAGGTATCTTTGTGCCCGATTCCAGGTGTCCTGTGGTCTGAAGCCGTCTTCCTGGAGGCAAGACCCCAGAGGAAGACCAAGAGCGTGGATGCCCTGAAGAAGTGTGAGCACGACCCCCACGTGCTCCTGGCTGTGGCCAAGTGAGTGGGGGTCTCGTGGGGCTGCTGACCCTCAGACCCGACCGGGCCTCTCGCCGGCGTCTGCCTGGTCCCTGGAACAGGGCAGGCTGCCCTGGACCTTGACCCCCGAAGCTCTGTGACGAAGTGATTTGGTTTTATCTGAGGCTGACACATCACCCAGCAGGGGGCACACAGATGCGTGCCACCTAGGTTGCCTGGGCTGCCTCAGACCCCTCCCTGGGCCCTTCTGGCCCTGGCTCGTGTGGATGGGACTGCTTTTCTGTCTCTGTCCCTTTCTAGCGTGTACCTACACGTGTCCTGGTTGCAAGGCGGAGGGAAAGCAGCTGACGGTGGTGCACGCAGAGTCTAAGCAATAAGCAAAGTTCCTTTGCTTGAAAAGGGCTGCAGGCGAGAAAGTCATTCTCATTGTGTCAGGGGGAACCGTTGGGGACCTGGGAGCAATCCAGGGCCTTCTGGGCAGGCCCAGTCGGTGGCCTGGGTGAGGAGACGCATGTGCCAGAGGCCGCCTCCCGCTTTGGTGTGCCCGGGCTAAGGGCTCGAGCGCCCTGGGGAGGCGTGCAGGGCATGGGAGGGAGCTCAGGAAAATTGGGCGAGGTTGTGGCCAGTGAGTAGAGGGCCTTGAGAGCCACCCTGACCCCACAGGGTCTCTGTCCTCCTAGAAGGGGGGTGGCATTCTGCAAGCAGTGGGACCTGAGTGCCGGGCAGGGGCTGCGTGTGGTCAGAGGATTCTGGGAGGTGACCGCAGGGCGTGGGGAGGAGGGTCTCAGGCAGAGTCTGGGGGTGGGGGCGTCCGTGGCACGTGTGGCCTGCAACTCCCACGTGCCTTCGAAGCCTGAGCAGGACCCTGGCTCCTTTTCTTCGCGTCGCAGCTGGCACTCTTGTGCTGTTTAAGCCAAGGGCTCCCCATAGGCTCCTGAGGCCCAGCCAGGGCTCCCTGCCTCCTGCCCAGTGCTTCCACCTCCCAGAGGGACTCGTCGGTGTGCCCCTCGGACAGGCGGCCATAAAACCTCGTAAAAGGCTTTGCTAAAGTCAACAAGGCCCTCCTTGCTGTTTCCAGGCTGGCGCCGTGTGTGCGTGCTATCGGGGTTTGTGCTCTTTAAATCTCAGTTTATCTAACACCAAGCAATTAAGAATTCCGCAAGGCTTAAAAAACAATCAAGCTATCAGAGCGTAAAGCTATTCTGTGTTCTGTCTGTGCCCAGCCCAGGCAGCTTCTCCGGGGCAGGCAAGCGGTGCTGCCCTCTCCGCTGGTGCCTCTGGCTGCAGAGGGAGGCCAAGCTGGGCAGAGGGTGGACCCTCATCCTGTCCTGCCAGACACGGCAGGGCTCCCATGGCCCTAACCTGGCCCCCGAGGTCCTCACATGGGCCTGGTGTCTGGTGTCTGAGTCTGCTGTGGGCCCGGGTCCTCAGTGTGGCAGGGTGACCCAGAAGTGTCCCCGGGGGGAAGGCTGACATTTCGCAAACGAAAGCCTCAGTTTAGTGCTTCAGGGTAACCTTCACCCCCTTGTCTTTCCTGGGAAGTAGTCGTTTAAAAGCTTGCAGTTCTCACTGTGTGTGGATGTTTGAAGAAGCACTTGGGCCGCTTGGAGGACAGTTCGGGTCTGTGGTCTGGAGCGGTTTCCAGGTGGCCCCATTCCTCAGCCCCTGTGGTGGGGGCCCAACGGCTTGACAGGAGGACGAAAGTGAGGGTGCCACACCCACAGGGGGCCACCGTGCTTGTCATCCGCCCCACATGGCTGCGGGTTCTGGTCCAAGGAGGCCAGCGCTGGGCCTCCGCGAGGCCATCTGTCGCTCCTGCGGCCTGTTCCCAGAGCGGCCCCTCACCGTGGGCCACGCTGTGCTCCCGACAGGCTGTTCTGGAGTGAGCGGAAGATCACCAAGGCCAGGGAGTGGTTCCACCGCACGGTGAAGATCGACTCAGACCTGGGGGACGCCTGGGCACTCTTCTACAAGTTCGAGCTGCAGCACGGCTCAGAGGTGAGGTGCCCACGTGTTGCCCCACACGCAGCCCATGGGGCCCACCGGGGAGCACGGCGCTCGCTCCTGACATCCCTGCCCTTGGTTATGGCTTCTGGCTTCCCTGTCTGCGCTTTAGAGGTCGGGCTATTTTAAGTGGCCTGTCAGCATCTCTTAGTGGCTCAGCTGCTGCCAAGGCCTAGGGCCACTGTAGAAATGGGACTGGAGGCCGGGCCCTGTCCTTGCACCTCTGTCCTCCCAGGCCTGAGGCCAGTGCGGCTTCCATGGGAGCCTGGGCGGATGTCCCCTCACAGAGCTGGGGGCGGCCAGGCTGTCCTGGGGTGCCCACGGGAAGCAGAAACTGGGAAGCTCCCTGTTCGAGAAAGGCGGACTCTGGGCCCTCGTGCGAGGCACAGACGGAGGGCGCTTGGCTCGGCTCAGCATCTGTGTGTCCCAGGTCCCGTGGGGTGTAGTGGGGATGTCCCCAGAGCCCGGGGCTGTGCAGCAAGCGGGAGAAGGGGCCTGGGAGGAGCCGTGCCTCACGAGCGCTGGGTCCCCACCAGGAACAGCGGGAGGAGGTGAGGCGGCGCTGTGAGAACGCGGAGCCGCGGCACGGGGAGCTGTGGTGCGCCGTGTCCAAGGACATCGCCCACTGGCAGAGGAAGGTTGGCGAGGTCCTCGTGCTGGTGGCCGCCCGCATCAAGAACACCTTTTGACTGTGGTCCCTGTGGGCGGTGGGGGGTAGGGGGTGGGGTCTGAGCTGTTGTCTGCTCTGATTAAAGCTTTTCTAGGGAGTGGTTAGGGTCTTGTGACCTGTTTGCTTGGTGCTCCTGGCCTGCCCCAGTTCAGTCTCCTTCCGGGGCTCAGGTGTTCTTGTTTGCGAGGACGCCTGCTGCCCACAGCGACAGCCGGACCTGCAGAGGAAGCTGCGTGACTTGGCACAGTCTTGTGGGGAAGGCGGGGCCGTGCACATTGCCTGGTGACTCGGTGTCTCCTCTGGAGCTGCAGAGCTGCATGAAAGCACTTGCAGGCTGTGAGTTCACACAGCCCGCTTCCTGAAGCGCCTCCTGGGCCTGTCGGAGGACGGGGTCGCCAGTAAGAGGTTTTTTCACAATTGCAGGTGGATTTATAACCAGCAAGCACCCTAAACCACTAGTAACTCTTCGTCTCTGACCTGAGAGGTGCATGCCTGGCAGACTTAGGGGCATGGCCTCGGCTCCCCGCGTGTGTGCGTGCCCGTGCCGTTGGAGTCCTGCCAGTTCTCTGGGGCGGGGGGGGCGTGCGCCGTGCCCAGACCGTCCTGTGGAGGAGGTGGAGGGGTCTCCTTGTTACCCTGAAGAGTGGATCCTGAAGCGTTCAGGGGCCTGAAAGCCAGCAGTCTCTGCAGACGTGGAAACCAACGCCCAGGAAGGGCGGTGACTTGGTTGTCACAGGGCTTCTGGTGGCCTTCTGTGCCCTGAGTGGGGCGTGGCTTCTCCTGGGTACTTCCTCTGGCCTTGATGTCAGGTGAGGCCTCCTGCAGGGCCTTGGAAAGTTCCAGAGCATCTAGATTATCCTCACGTGACTGTTTTGGGGTTTTCTCAAATGCTTTGAGTTGGCCTCCGTTTCTCCATGGCGAAAACGCAGTCAGCTTCTCTTTCACCGACATGTTGTTGCTGCAACTCAAGGCTCCTGGGTTCCAGGGGCCACCCTCTAAGGCGCTGCTGGGGAGGGTAGCAGCCCTAGTCCCCCACAAGCCTCTTTGGGTAAGCAGCCATGGCCTCCCCCACCGAAAAACCCCCCTGAGCCAAGAGGGTCTGGCAGCAGGCGGCACCTCTCTGCCGAGCGCTGGCCAGCGGGAAGTCCCGCTCCTGGGACCTGCTGAGGCAGGATCCCTGGGTGTCAGGCTGCTGGGGCTGGCCGCTACAGGGCGATTAGGTCCTGCTCACCTGTTTCTGCCAGCGGCCAGTTCCTGGGAGGGCAGTACTTGCAGACCACGGAGGAAGACCCGGAGGAGGGGTGCAGGCAGCCCCCACTTGTCTGGCTCCCTCACCCCCTGGTTGTATTGCCCTCTACCTCTTGGGCACCCCACCCCCTCCTCCCCAGAGCACGTCTCCCTGGGGCTGATGGCTTAGTCCAAGACCCACTGGGTGGGAAGAGAGCCCGGCGCGGCTGGGCTCCAGGGTCAGGTTAATTGAAGAAGCGATTGGATAGGGGTGGGGAGGGGAGGGGGCAGGGCTGGGACCTGGGCCTCCCTCCCGCTCCCTCCCGCCTTTGCTCGGAGGAGCCAACTTCAAAAGCCGTGTCCGCCTGCCGCCAGCCGCCCTGCTGCTGCCCGTCCAGGGCTCGGAGTGGGACCTGGAGTGGCCGCTGCACTGCCCCCCGGGACCTCAGGATCATGTTCCAGTCACACTGGCAGGAGTAGGGGAGGGCCTGACTGGAGAGGCTCATGGTGAGCAGCTCGGCCACTGGGGACGGGGATCGCTTGGGCCCTGGACAGGCTGCTCGTTCTGCTGTACCCCACTGACCCGGAAATCCCCCTTGGTTCCCATCATGGCCACTGAGGCCTGGCCCTGGGTGCTCGGCCTGGCCTTTCCTGGCAGCGAGTGTTGCGGGGTGGGGGTGGCCCAAGCCTTGGGACCCTGTGTATGTGTGGCTGTGAGGGGGCAGGGAGGCCAGGCTGCCTGAGGACCCCCTGGGCGACCAAGGTGCCCCACTAGGACATCCTTCCAGTGCCGGTGCTCGTGCTCCGGTTCTCACTGTGACCTCTGACCCATAGCAGGCGCAGGGGTGACTTGGCTTGGCGTCACGACCAGCACGTTGGGGGTCGAGAGGGGCGCAGCTAACCATAGCTCCTCCAGCAGGCGCCCCGCAGACGCCAGGTCTAGGAGCTGGCCGGGCTGTGCCGAGGCCCCCGGCCGGGGCTGGGAAGCCGAGTCCTGGTCTCCCTCGGTTCACATGACTGAGTTTCCTGCCCCTGTCTGACTCCGGCGGCTTGGGGGCTGGGGGCCTGGGGACAGCTGCTCTTTCTCTTTGGTGTGTGGACTTCTGGGGGTGGGGGCTTCTACCCATGGGAGCTGGTCCCCTCTCAGGGCAGGGGTTGACCTTCAAGTGGAGTGCTTGCTGCCCCCTTCCATCACCTCTGGGGGTTTCCCCAAGCTTTCCCCTTCCAGGGGGGTGTGGCCTTGAGCTCAGCCTTCACCCCTGTCCTGGTTGGGTTGGGGGTGCAAGGGGACCCCAGTTCCCATGGCTCTTAGCTGATCGTAGCAGAGCCGTTGATGGTGGGAGCTGCCTCAGCCTCCGGTGGGGAGGGCAGAGCCACCGCTGAACAGCCCTGGGCTGTGGGAACCCAGAGGTGAGCAGTGTGCCGGCGCATGGGGGCGCTGTGCCCAGGAGGGGGCGGGTGGGTCAGGGCACAGCCAGAGGCGAGGCTGTGCCTCAGACCTAGGCCAGTTGTGCCCTCCGGTCGTGTGGACACTTGGCTTCTGGCTCCCACACACACCAGGGCGCCAGTGCTCCTGCCTCTGGAACTGTCCCCTCCGGCCCCTCACCCGGTGCCTCAGCACCGAGCTGTGGGTCTGCAGGCCTGTGTCTCTCTCTCTTTAAAGCCTAAAACAGCTGGGGTGTATCCTGCCAGACCTGTGCCAAGGCCCTTCGCCGGACAGCACAGTGCCACCTCCGTTTCATTAGACCTGCTCAGAAATTCCCCTGGGGGGTGGGGAGGGCACCGAAGCAAACCGCCTGCAGGCTGCTGGAGGGGAGGCCCCTGCACGGGCCTGGGTGACCCTCCCTGACCTGGGGCCCTTCCAGGTGCCCCACAAGCCTGCACTTTGGGCGCTCCTGCTGGCGCTGCTGGGAGCCGCACCAGTCTGGGCCAGGCTCCGTGCCTGCAGCGTCCCGGACGTGCTCCGTCACTACCGCGCTGTCATCTTCGAGGACCTGCAGGCCGCTGTGAGGCGGGGTGGGACAGGCTTCAGACACCTCCATTTCACTCAGAAAAACCAGACTGGAGCGGCGGCCCCCCGACGGCGGGGTCGGGTGGGAGCCTCTTGTGGCGTCCAGAAGGTATGGGGGCCTGCCCCCATCCTCACCCTGCAGCCCGCTTCCCCCCGGCGTCCCATAGCGCTCTTTCCCCAGGCCCGGATTTCCTCTTCCCTGCCAGGAGCATAGTATCCTGCTGTCCATCGCGACCCTGGGGCGGACTCTGCGCGGCGTGGTGGCTGGCGGCCGCCGCGGGGCGCTAGAGAAAGCGGCGTGGACCGTGGCCCTGCGCACGGAGGCGGTGATGCGGCGCCACTGCTGGACCCTGCGCCAGGTGTGCGTCCCCGAGGGCGTGGCGGTCCAGACCCTCCCCTCCCGCGGTTCGGGGGGCCCACTAAAGAGGCTGCGGTCCCCTCGTGTGCGTCCGAGGGCGTGGCGGTCCAGACCCTCCCCTCCCGCGCGTTCGGGGGCCACTAACGAGGCTGCGGTCCCCTCAGGGGCTGGACGCGCACTGCGGGGGTCGGGCGCGGGGACCGCGCGGGCTCGCTGACCGCCTCGTCTCCGACAGAGGAGCCGGCGGCCCCAGTCACGCCGTGGCCTTGGCCAGCGCCGCGGTCGGAGGCGGCTCTTACTGCGCGCCCTGGACGCCGTCGCCACCTGCTGGGAGAAGCTGTTCGCACTGCGCGCCTCGGCCGCGGAGGGCTCCTAGTGCGCCTGCGCGGGGCCTGGGCGGGAGCCTCGTTTGGCCACGACGTCGGCCGGCCGCTGGGTCCTGGCCCCAGCCCCGTCGCTGCCCGGGCTCTCTGGAGGGCCCAGGACTTCAAGATGGGAGCCCTGAGAGGCCTCAATAAACCGAGCTGGCGCTGCGGTCCGGTTCTTCCCTTCGCCTGCTGGCCGTGGGCTGGGCCACCCCGGGATGGGCCCCTCGGTAGCCGGCGCTGGGCTGTTGTCGTGCGCACGCACGTTTGGGGCCCCTGCGGGGTAGACTTCACGTGGACGGGGCAGCGCTCCCAGCCTTGGGCAGCAGGGGGCGGCTTGCGACACCGGACTGGACTCCCGCTCCAGAGGGTGGACTGGGGGGTGGGGGGGACACTCCTGGGCCCTAAAACGGCGCATATCCGCCCGCTCCGCTCTGGAATGGGGGAGGGGTGGAAGTGGAGGGGAGGGAGGGCCGAGCTGTGAGAACCCAGAGCAAAACAACCGGATAAAGGAAACGGGCCTGAAGGGAAGCCAGAGTCGCTGGCCCTGGCTGCAGGCGAGGCCAGGCCGTTTCCTGCGGCCCTGGGAGGGTGGACACGGCCCCCTTTGTGGAGCTGGACAGGCTGGCCAGGGACCCTGCATATGCTTGGGAGAGGGAAGCGTGGAACCCTGGCCTCCCCTCACAGCCGTGTAGGCTTGGGGGTCTGCACCCCGGCCCCCCCATCCATCCTGTGGCAGGTGGAGCACTTGGCATCATCAGGCTTCTTCCCACCAGGTGGGCGGGCTCGAGGGTCGCCGGAGTGGGCCTTGTCCCTGCGGTCCTGGCAGAGCAGAGGTACAGGGGGCCTTTGTGGTGGAGCCGTCAGCAGGGTCACGAAATAAGGACCATGAGAACTGACCCTGACCAGCTCCTGTCAGTCTGTACAACAGGGACTACTGCCCCTGTTTCAGAGATGAGGAAACTGAGGCACCAGGAGGTTCCAGGATGGGCCCCAAGTCACACAGCCAGGAAGCGTAAGGGTGGGGTGAGACCCGGGCCACCAGCACGGCCGCTGCACTGCCAACAGGCCTGCCGGCCGCAGGGTGCAGCCGACCTGGGGCCGCTGTACATACGCAGTGACAGCGGCAGCGCAGGCTCCACAAGGCCGCAGCGGGGCTGGAACGCGTGAGGAGGAGCATGGACCTGCGCCGAAGCAATGCGGCCGCAGAGGGTCGGGAGGACTGTGTGGCCGGTGAGGCTCAGGGAGTAGCCTTGGACATGAAGGGGCTGCAGGTCCTGGCCTGAGCAGCTGGACGTGTCCTGTTGAACTTGAGGGGACACATGGAAGCGCAAGCTGAGCAGACTTGGGTTTGCCGGAGCGGCCACACTCCCGGGCTCCTCCCGTGTGAGCCTTGGGATGTGGCCCCGTGTCCAGGCTTAGAGCATAAGGCGGGGGCGGCCCAGTGCGGGGCTGGCAGTCAGGACGGGTCCAGGGGCCTCGGCGAAGGGGCAGGAGGAGGACGGCCCTCGGGAGCTTTCCCCGGGGCAGCTGGCCCCTCGCACCTAGACAGGTCCCAGCACTCCCAGCACTGCCTGGGCATGGCCTCCTGGCCGTCTTGGTCGCTGCCCACCCCCAGTGCTCCCACCCTGCTGCTGAGGCCAGCCCGGCTGTGCTGGGGGAGGCGGGGCAAAGGGCAGCCCCTCCGTCCACCTGTGGCTGAGGAAGGTTCAAATCAATCAGAACCCTGGGGGGCGGGGGGGTGGACGCCTCAGTTTTAGGGACACGGCCCTCTGCTGAGTCCCAGCAGTACCTCCCCGTGGGCTCCTGTCACAGTGCGCCGGGTGGCCCAGCCCCCCCGTCCCCGGAGGCCTTTGGCCTGAACCAGCAGAACCGAGCCCCCACCCCACCCCTTCACCCTCTATCCCGTCTGTGGAAGCCTCAGACACCTCTGGCGGCCCCGGTCCTGAGCAGAGGCTCAGCATGTCTTTCCCAGTCCTGCTCCTGCCAAGCCCTGGACAATGGGGGACCTGAGCCCTGTCCCCATCTCTCAGAGGCCATCTGTATTTGTTTCCTGGGGCTGCTGTAAAAATGAGCAGAAACCAGGTGGCTTAACAGTGGAAATTTCTTTGCTCTCAGTTCTGGAGGCCAGAAGGCCAAAATCAATGTCACTGCCTGCAATCAAGGTGTCAGGTTCAAGCTTCCTCCAGGGGAGAACAACTTCTTGCTTCTGGTGGTTCCATCCTTCCAATCCTTGCCTCTTCTCTCTCTTACAAGGGTCTTTGCCTCTGGGTTTAGGATCACCAGGGTAATCCAGAGTCACCGCACCTCGAGATCTGAATACATCTGTCAAGACCCTTTTTCCACTACAGCCCCACGCAAAAGTCCTGGGAGTGGACGCGTCTTGGGGGAAGGGAGCACGGTGGGCTTCTGGGACAAAGTTCACTTGACTAGCGTGGGGATATCCCAACTGGACCAGGTGTGGGCGCAGGTGCAGAGCCACCCCTAGATGCTGAGAGACACAGGCTGGGAGGAAAGTGGGGTGCCCTGCCCAGCCCCGGTGACGTGCTCTTCAGGCTCAGCACAGGGCCCCCTTTGTGGCCTATTCACCACAGCACAGAAGCTGCTGGAACCGATCAGAACTGACACTGACATGGAAAGAGATTCAGCCATGGGGCCTGGGCCTTTGGCCATGGAGCCACCGAGGGCAGATGCCGGTGGCCGACTCTGTGGGCGGGCCTGTGTGAGGCCCTGGCCTGCAGCTTGAGCCTGGATCTTCCCGTGGAGAACACTGTTTCTGGGGCGCACACATGGTCGGGTGGGGGCCTGTACTCAGTGGTGTCCTGTCCCACACACACGGCTTCTCAGCAGCTTCCAAAAGGTGGGGGCTGGGACACAGGAGGGGCTGTGCCAGGGTTGCAGATGGGGCCTCAGGGCACTGGCCAGGGTTGTGTAACTTCTCAAAGCAGGGAGCCAAACCCCCCCACGTACAGTGCCGAAAGGAGCCGGCCCGGCCGACTTTAAAGGGCAGCCCGGGTCCCACGGCCTCCCCAGACTGGGAGCCTTTGAAAGAACATCTGGAAGAGGGGCGAGCCACAAACTAGTCTCCGGATTTAAAAAACCAAAACGTTAATTCCTACTTCGCCACTGTGTGCTCCCCACCCCTGCCCACACACGCCTCTCTCCCTGCCCCCGCCCCACCTCTGCCCCTTCCCAAGCTGCCACCTGGGGTCCCACCATTCCAGCCCAGTACCTGGCCCCTCTGTTTGCCCAACCTGGGGTCCTCTCATGGGCTCCAGCAGCAGCTCCCCCGTGTCCTCCCCACACTGGCCACCACCCCAGCTGGACTGAGCAAGGGGAGGTGGTGGGAAAGATGGGGGCCTGCCAGCCCGGGCCCTTGGAGACACAGCTCCGCGTGCAGGGGGCCACGGCCTGGGACCGGGCGTGTCAGCCAGGCCTCCCCCAGTGCGGGGTGCTGAGGAGGCGTGAGGCCATCTGCGGCCACACTCAGCTAGGAGGCCCAGGAGGAAGCACCTGCACCCAGGCCTGGAGGGGGCGCTGGCCTTGCCCGCACTTGGCCATGGCATGAGCCTCGGTGTGGGGTCCCCATCCCTGCAGGTGGGCAAGGAGGACGCCTGTTCCAGCTGTGCTTATGCGGAAACAAACAAGGCCCCCCACTCCAGGAAGCAAAGCAAATACTCATGGGGTGGGGGGAGCGCCAGGTGCTGGAGCCCATTGTCCCTGCCAGTGGCCTGCAGGGGGGGTGCCCAGGGACAGTCCCCATCCTGGCCCCTCCCTAGGAAAAGACCCAGCTTTGTAAACACTGAAACAAACAACCTTCATTCCTCCCCCCAAAAACCCGCCCCCTCCCAACCAGCAGCATGCAGTCTCCTGCTGGGGGAAGCAGTCTTTGTTTTGGGGGGTCAGGGTGGGTGGTGGGGGCAGAGTAGTGTGTGCTGTGGGAGAGGTGGGGTGTCCTGGGGTGAGACGCAGACCACTGGGTCACCTGCTTGCGTCTGTGGCGGGAGGGGGTCGGGGGTTACAGCCTGGCTCAGTGAAGTCCTGTCGCTGTCCTCGGCGCCACCCTCAGTAGCCCAGTTGTGACAGTTGTGGCTTGGGGCGAGGTGGGCAGGGCTCTCCGCCAGGTGATCAAGCCCTGTCCTCCCGCCGCCCCCATCCTCTGTCCAGCCCGAGCAGGGCACGAGGCCAGGGGTCCGGCTGCGGCCCCAGATAAGCTCCGCACCCGCGGCGACTTCCTGAGCTTCCTCCCAGCGCCGCCGCCGACGCTGCGCACCCCTTCCTGTTTCCTCGGCGGGGGCGGCGGCGTGGGGAGGGGGCGTGGGCCGCCCGCGAGGGCCGGGGCTCTCGCCGCACCTGGCCGCCTTGGCGCCCGCGCCGCGCTCTCCTGGGTGGCGTGGGAGGCGGGCGCGGAGGCCGCGAGCTGCGCGAGCTGCGTGGGCTGCGGGCTGAAACTAGCGGAGGGGCCGGGTCGCGCCCCTTCTCCGCCTCCGTCCTGGGCCCCAACTGCCAAACGGCCGCTCTCTTGGCCAAATCCCTTCACGGACTGGATTGCAGTCCGATCCTTGGAGCCGCTCCCCATCCTGGGGCAGAAGTGGGGGGTTAGCCTAGGAATGGGGGATTGAACCTTGGTTTTGGGGCACTGTTGGGATTGCAGGTCAGTGGCTCTGGACCCCCCCTCTTGGGGCGCATATGAACGGACTTGAGGTACTTAACCTACTTGCTCACACTTGGTCATTAGAGATACAAATTTGTGTAATTTTAATAAAATCATACATCCCCACAAAACGTGCACACGAGTGTTCACAGCAGCATTATTCAGCCACCAAAACATGGAAGCACCCTAAACTGTCCACCGGTGAACCGACAGTCCATCCACACGGGGCTCTGATGCAGCCTTCGAGGGGAATGAAGCACAGTGCTGATAAACGCTACGAAGCCGATGCCCCGTGAAACATGGCGTCACACACAAAGCAGGATCCAAGGGCCGCTCAGCGTGTGAGTCCACTTACGCGAGATGTCCAGAACGGGCACATCCGTGGAGACAGGGACGAGGTCAGTGTTCCGGGGGGCCTGGGAGCAAGGGAGAATGGGAGTGACTGCTCAGGGGCACAGGCTTCGTTTTGGGGTGATGGGAAAGCACTAAAACGAGATAGTGGTGATAGTCACAAAGCCCCACGAACACACTGGAAAACACTGACTCCTCCACTTACAAATGTATGTGGATTTTGCAGTGTGCGCTGTGGTGGATTGTCTGGAGTGTTTGTCCAGTAGAGTGGAGGGTGACTTAGGTCGTTCCTGGCCCGCCCAGCATGGCCTTGGGGTTGAGTGTGTGAGCACAGCCTTTGGTCCTGGTGTGTCCCTTGGT